CTATTTATAGGCATATGAGGGCATGTAGGGGACCTCTAGGGGGCGTGGACACCCCTGGGGTGTCTAGGCTTTTCCTAGACACCCCTGGGGTGTTTCGACTTTCCCGAGACACCCCGGGTGTCCCAACTCAGCCTGAGACGCTCCGTTGCGTATATTTGATTGTTTTCGCCGTAAATTCTTCGTCCGAACTCGGATTTGAGTGATTCCAAGTGCGTTGGAAGCTTGACGAAGAGTTCTATCTGCTCCAATGGTTGGATTATCTGTAGAATGAACGAGACTCGAAGGGCGTTGTCCTTTTTGTGAACATCATCGGGTTCCTGATTGGCCCGGGTCTTCGTTGTTCCGAAATCCTATCAGCTCACGTAGTTCGTCGATTCACTTCAATCGTTCATCGACGTCAATTGGACTCCTGTGGATCGGATAGTGACGTTCATCATCGCTCTTTAACACTGAACCGTTCGTGGAGACCTATAGGCAATTTTTGATGCCTACACCGTGCGGGCGAGTCGAGTAAGCAGGTGAATCTGGATGATCTTGACTCATGCGGGCGAGTCGATCATACAGGCAAGTCTGGATGATCTTGACTCATGCGGGCGAGTCGATCACACAGACCAGTCAGTGATCAACAACCGCAAGCGAATTTGGGTATCGTGCGGTTTGGGTTCGCGCTGGTGAGTCCAGCCCATGGGTGAGCCCCCCCACCCTCAAGATCGGTGGACGACTCCGACTCGCAGGTGAATTTCTCGTATGTCTGCAAAGGTAATTTGTACCGTCTACACCCGTCGGCCGTGGTAGGGTACGCTGGGCTCTCTTCTTCTTCTTCTTCCTGTTCAGAAGCTGCTCCAACATTTCCCTTAAGGAGTCGATGGTTGCTTGTTGCTCTTTGAACCTCTTAGCAATCGTCTGATCATTCATGGTGTCGGCCACGTGTACTCTTGCCAGTGTGTCCTGACTCAAGTGCGATGTTTGGGACGTGGCTGCCACGGAGTAAACCTCGTCTTCACCATCGGAGGGAGGTGCTAAGGTCGAGTAATCAAATCCTATGCTCACCCCCGTACGACTACGGGTACGCTAGAATATACCGCCTTGTTCACGTTGAACAAGCGGATGATTAGGCCCCAGGAAGGAGTCCAAATCTGGAGAACCAGAAAGCACGGCCTTACCCTTGTCCGTCATATTGATTGTAGCGGATGGGAGCTCTAGATCATTAGCGTCAAAGATCTTGGCTTGGAGGGCCGTTGAGCGAGCCTTTAGAATACCGAGGGCCTCGCCGTTTCCACTCACTGGCAGTCAGTGAGTACTGCCTGAATGAGTCTCTCGCAGTGACATTGCGGACTCACCTCTTGCATAGTGCGTTTGCGAGTTAGGTACCCTCGGAGATCCTCCGCGGGTGGTTGGTGACAGCCCCTAGGGCTAGAGGGTTCAGCTAGGTGACTGCACGATCGGGGTTTAGATGAACCCCCTTGCGCACCACGGGAGGGGTGTTTAAGTGTTGGAGTCGGGCGGGTTCGCCTTGACAGGCGAGTTGCCGCGCTCGGGTGAGTTTGTGCCTGTTTGCTCATGTGGACGAATTTGGGATGTCTCGCCTACTTCTTTGCCTTTATTGTGAAGGCTTAGTTGACCATGACGTCTGTCTGTCGAGCAGACTTGATGTGGTTCGCTTGATGTCGACGGTTCATCTGTCTAAGTAGACCCACCTGAGTTGGGCGGTCTGTTCGCTTCAGGGATGTGCCCTGAGAAGCGAAATCCTCCTGTTTCGGTGAGCCTGCCTGGAGTGTTGGATTCGACAGAATGGGAGATGTTTTGGTCAGGGTGGATCCCGCCTGAGCGCGCGAGTGCACCTGATTTGGTGATCTCCTCAGCCTTGGGAGGGTCGAGTCTTCGCCTCGCATCTTTCAGACCTGAATAATACCTCAGGCTGTCATACGAGGCGAATGTTTGAGCCTTCTGCCAAGCGAGGAGCTGTCGTCGCCACTGTCGGGCTCTTCTTGAAAGAGGAGCGTCTGGGTGGATCATGTCGATCTGGTTCGTGCCAGAGTGAACCTCCGCTTCCTCTTGGGCGAAGATTTGTGAGGGTCGTTTGGTGACCCATTTGGTGATATTTCGCATAGTGTTGCCGGCCTTTGGTTTGGCCGTGATAGATTTTGGGGAAGTTTGATTCCCTGCCATGACTCGGATGGCGTCCTCGAGCGTGGGGTTGGCCGTTTGAGGTCGGCCCCTACGCACGACTCGGTGGCGTTTGCGGGACGCATCGCCACCAGAGGAGGAGGAGGACAAGTACTCTTCATACTTGGCCTGGTCGAACTCGATTTCTAAGGACTCCACTATTATCCCGACAGGAACCTCGTCAAATTGAGCTACCACCATTTCGGTTGAAGAAATAGTTTCTCCCACTGTGGTCGTCATCTTCTGTAGGTGTAAATTTTGATCTCCCGAAACAGGGATTTCGTTTGTATTGATAAGAATAGCTTATTACAAACTAATGAATCAAAATTACAACAGAAATGGAGGGAAGGCCCTCCTTGTTTAACGTGGGGACTTTGGTAGCTATAGGATGCCTCGCTCGGTTCTCGCACCGAGTCTGCTTCTCTTGGACGATTCGACCGAGGTTGCTGGTGAGCTTTAGTACGTAGTAAAAGCTCGTGCTAGTCGAGTTCGGATTTCTGAGTTCGATGGCGATCAGGGCCCGAAGCTAGGGGAAGATGCTATAGTGCAAATGTCATGCAAAGAGCTTGTCGTCAACTCCGTCGAGAGTTGAGAGCTGTGGTTCAGTTAACTGATTTAATCAATTAACTATAAGCCAGCCGAACTGTTGAACCGCTGGCTTGCTGAACCTGCCCCACCCCTCTTCCGTGGCTGGAAGAGGTTCTTAAATAGAGGAGAGACGGCGTGGCCATTCCTTGAATCATGGGATATGACCATATACTGTTAGGAGATACCATGCTCCTCACTTGTACCGTGAGCGGCTGCTTGAGGGGCTCGGAGCACTGTACTTTACCCCCTTCACGTCGCGAGAGGTGGGAAGGTCCACTCCTGTACGTGATACTGCGGCTACCTAATACTCGAGTGATTCTGGCAAGCTCGTCGATTGCTTGGCAGTTTGTTTGGTCGTTCAGGCGAGGCTTGGCTGCTTGACCAAAATTGACTCGTGCAGGCGAGTTAAGTACAGCGGCGGTGTCCAACAACTACAAGAACTTGACTAGCCACAAGCACTGTGGGCGGCCACTTGAGGACTTGGAGTACTATGCTCCTTCCTTTCACGTCGCGGGAGGTGGGAAGGCCCATCCCTGTACGTGGTATAGTGGATGCTAAGTACTCTGATGAGTTTGGCGAGCTTACTGATCGTAGGCGAGTTCAGCTCTTGATTCGTGCAGGCAAGCCAAGCTTCATGCAGGCGGACTTGGCGACTGCATGGATTTGACCAATCACTCGTACTGTGAGCGGCTACTTCCTTCACATCGTGGGAAGCGGGAAGGCCCATCCCTGTATGTGGTATAGCGGCTGCTAAGTACTCTGGCGAGTTTGGTGAGCTTATTGTTTGTAGGCGAATTCGACTCTTGACTCATGCAGGCGAGTCAAGTCAGCAGGCGAGTCTGTGGTCATCCGATGTAGGCGAATTTGGTGATCGTGCGGCCTTGGCTCGTGCTAGTGAGCCAAGCCCTTGGGTGAGCTTAATTTCTAAGCTGTGCAGGCAAATTTCGTGCTTCACCTTCCAAGGTAATTTCTACCGTCTATAGTATGTTGTTGGTCCCTTATGATTATTATGATCTAGTAGTGGATTGCATTTTGATTTGTTAGATTTCTCATTGTACATTTCCATTGTCATTTCTGTTGTTACATCTGTTATTGCATTTGGTCGTTAGACCGTTTCTATTCTTCTTGTGGGATCTTGCCGTTCCATGCACACTAACGTACTCCTGTTCTCTCGGGTTGTACGTCCGATTTAGGAGATGGACAGAGTATCCTCCGCAGGAAGGCCTTGAAGACGGAGCAGAAGAAGAAGCCGAAACCTAGTCTTTCTTTTATTAGTTGATGATCCTAGTTTACTTTTGTAGCACTTTCCTTTTCCACTTGATCAGTGCATTTTTATATTCCCCAGTATTTCAGTTGGACAGATTTGTATAAGGGCATGTTGACCCGAATTTTATGTCTGGGATGATATTTTATTTGTGATATGTATCTTTCTATTCTTAGTTATTTATTATATTCTCACTATTGTGATTAGGGACATGTGTCTTTGCTTTATATTGCTTGATGCTCAGTGTATTAGATCGAGTAGAAGATCTAGTACTTTTCTCCTCAGTCTAATAGGTAGCGGGCTTGTTCATGTCCCGATTCCTGAGTATTTGGAAAGTGGGGCATGACATATGCTCAAAGAATTGGAAGCTTGATGTATGCAATATTGTGCACCAGACCTGATGTAGATTATGCTGTAAGTCTAGTCAGTCTATATCAAAGTAATCCAGGACCAGCATATTAGAAAGCTGTTAAAAGGATTAAAGTATATCAAAGATACCACAAGTAAAAAACGAGGCATCCTAGATGGAAAATTCCGTCTAGGAAAATCAGAATTCCGTCTAGGATGATTATCCTAGACGGAATTCCGTCTAGAATACGCGTCTAGGAAGTTTCCGTCTAGGATATAGTATTCTAGACGGAAATTTCGTCTAGAATACATCCTAGACGGATTATTCTAGACAGAATTCAAAACCATCTAGAATACATCCTAGACGGATTATCCTAGATGGAATTTCCGTCTAGAATACTACATTCTAGACGAAAAATATTTCCGCCTAGGATGATTACCCTAGACGAAAATTCATACTCATCCTAGACGAAATTTCCTTCTAGGATGTTTTTTAATTTTTCTTAAAAAAAATAAGCATCCTAGACGGAATTTCAGCATCCTAAACGGAATTTCCGTCTAAGATGCTATGCTACATTTTTTTTGCAGAATCTACTTTGAGTGCATGTACACAATATTGAAGAACAAAAAATTATATTCATATCCAACACAATCAAATTATATTCTAATATCAAGTCTAATTATATTCAAATAATACATTCACCAAAATAGTAGAAAGATACATAAATTGTTTACAAACTTTTACATAAATTATTTACGATGGCTATGACACTGCAGAAGCTTCTTCAACTCCTTCCCTATACATTTACTCAAGCCCTCTTCTTCTCCTTCTCCTTCTTCCTCGTCATCCTGAGTGTAACATAAGGACACAAGCAATGCATCAATATATGTACAAACTAAAACACATAAATGTATCGGAGTTGATGATCTCAGATGTAGAGGCCGAGGTAGACCTGGAAGGAGATACAATAGGATTAAAAAAATTACTATTGCATAATTCAGATGGAAGTATGGAAGGAGATACAGACACCACATAGTTCAAAAGCGTAACATGAAGGAATTTGAAGCTGACTCACCAGAATAAAATAAGTTGCCAAGCAACTTGAATGACAACCTGGAAAAAAAGAAGCTTAGTGGAGGTGCAACATCTCAATAATTTAATCTAATGAGAACCTTAATCATCATGAAGGTGTCAAAATTACAGCAAATCACATTGAAGTACAGAAAGAACCACTTGACCTGTATAGCATTTATGCATACGCCTCATCAGATTCATCAAATATTTTATTCAAGAATCACAAATCAAACAGATAGGAAGTAGCAAGACATATTTTTGTTTCCCTTGAGAAAAGCTCTTTGAAGCTGCTCATAATGTCCTAAAAACAAACAGAAACTTAATACTTCCAGTAGTCTATTAATATCAGTACATCAAATTGATGCTGCCTGCACAATCAAGCTTTATGCTTCTAATCTTTCATGATGTTATAGCATAACTAACCCCAGTCTCTGCCGTCAGTACAATACAAATACTCACAGTTCAGTTAAATATCATACACGAACCTTGTTTTATTGAACGAACAAAACGTGCACATCTTAATGAGTAAATAAGAAACGACGTTAAACTACTTAAGACAGGTAACCATTTATGACTCTTCTTTATTCGCATCAAGTATACATGTCTTGGTCAACAGGCTTTTTCTTAAAGATTTAAGGAATCAATAGACTTTCTCAGATTCTGTTTCTAAGTTTAGAACAACAAAACAAAAACAGACATGAACAACACATAACATGAAAAAAAATTCTTAAACACTAGCAAAAGTCCATTAACTTGCAGCAAAGCTAACGTACACATACATAAAAGCCTAAAAGATATGTAGATTAACTAACCACTTATTATAATAATATGCATGCCCAACCTCCTGAGAAAGTGTTATGACAACCTGACAGCCCATAAGTCATCTCGAGGATTCCAAATGATATTATTCTGATAATCAAGTATATTGCCTTTAATAGGATTTCATACCACACATTCTCCATAATTAGTCATAATCATTTGGGTAAATTTCACTAAATCTTTCTGAAGCAGAGTTATTATCCACAGGCTACAACCTACTACAAGGGAAAGAAATTGAAAACAAATTTCCCATTTTCAGTCCATCCACAGACAAGAGATGAGCTCATTACTTCATTGATATGTTTAAGCATCCCACTTATGGATTAAAAAAGAACTAAATTACCACATTTCTAATGGCAAAATTGGAAACTAAATCAAATTAACTAAACTTCTAACCTCGTCCCGCAACAGGTAGCAAGAGAAGAAACCCTAGATTGTACATTTTCCAAGTATGCAGTACGTATGCCCTCTCTGTCACTATCGAAAACCTGGCATATTAAGAACAAGCGTCCCAGGTACTAAGTGTCAGATTATGGGGCAAAAGAATTCAGTTGTACACAGTTAGTTTAGTAAATAAAATGAATAGAAAAGAAAATGTCACTATAAGACTTTTACTGCAAAAGAGAGAGGTCAACTAGAACTAAGCATTATAATAAGCCAAAGACTATCCGTTGCCTGTTTGTGAGAGAAAGCATGACAAATGACATCAAAATGTCTCTAAAATTAGGCATGTGATTGATCTCAGAATCAAATAGTGAATAAATAAAAAAAATGCATATTCAAGATGCTCAATAAATACTAAGCAAATGAATTTCAACCATGAGACCACAACAATACTCAAAGTAGCTCTTGCTGTTAGAGGTAGCATTACCTACATCAGCAAGAGTATATGCATAAGCAATGAGTATCAGTTCTATTTTCGGGATCCCTTGCAACAAGTAAAGAGCATCTTGGATTACCCAGCAGATTCTGCTCAAGACAAAAAAAAAACTCCCAATTAGCTAATAATGTGAATTGTTCCAAAGAGAATGTATAAAAAGAAGAAAGAAGTGAGACTGTACTATATTTCAAATAACATTTGTATTCTTCAACAAGATTAAAACATAAAGAAGACCTCAGATAGTACTATATGTATTACATATTCCCTAAGCAAAATTAAATTAACAACATTTTATGCATAAACTCAATACATCTATATAAACCAATATATCCAGGTTTCATATATTAAATTAACAAAATTTTCATATGCTATATGCATTACATATTCCCTAAGCAAAAGAATCACAATGTATGCAAAGATATCCTGGAAAGTAAATCTGAAGGGGTAATTATTTTGAAAGGCACCCCAATTATGATAAGATTTATTAAAAGGAAGAAATTTTCTCACTATCATAAAAATAAAAAAAATTCCCCCGGTATCTTAGAGAAGTAATTATTTAGAGAGGCACCTTAATTATGATGAGGTTTATGTAAAGAAAGAAAATTTCTCACTATCCTAAATTAACCTTCCCTCCATATCTTATAACTATGTTATTCCATCTACTCAAGCAAAATACTAAACCCGCATAAATACAACCAATTTGCTAATCTTGTTTTTTATATGGTGCAATTATCACTCACCCATCCAACATGCAAGAGAAAGGATTTCTTCAAATATTCTTTAAGAAAAAAGAGTTATTTAAGGAATATCAGCTATGAAAAACCACAAACATCCTGGGAGGCCATACATAACTAACGTAGAGGAGATGACAGTGATGATGGCCCGAATGCCATAGTACTAAGCACCAAATTAGGCAGCTTGTACGGAAACTACAATTGCAACATTATCAATCAAGCTGGAATCTCAAGAACTCACATCACCTTTAAATATTTGCTACGACTGAATGCAAAACTTTTTAGTAGAAAAGCATCATCAACACGAGTACCTGAGAAAACGTGGAGAGCACTCCTCGAACACTCTGATTAAGCAAAGTTCGGACCTCATCAACCAGTGAAAGTCGAGCTGCTGCCGCCTTAAAAAAAACAAATCATGTCAGCAATTCATCCTAAATCAAGCGAATTCATCATCGATTTACTCCAAATTCGCACCTGATGTGCCTGAATCAACTCGAAAGCGTCTGATTTGCCCTTAACCTCGCCTGCAGCAGTCTGCAAACCCTAGATCGAACCCAACGAGGCTAAGTGAAACTAAAATTGGATGATTGAAAGGGCAAACCCCAGGGTTTTACCTGAGAGTTGGCGAGAGGAGCGGAGGAGGAGAAGTTTCATAGGAGAAGACAGAACATGCAGCGGTCTCCTCCCTGAGACAATCACGAGAATGAGAACCCCGGAACTGTATATATCGGTCTTCTCCGTTAGCCGCCCGCATCCCCCGTGCTTGGGCGCGACGTAGCAGACCGTCTCTCTCACGCTAGTCGCGGTGCTGCTCAGCTCTCTGCTAAAGAGACCGTTGCTGAACGGAGCAGAGCTCAGCTCGAAATCAGCTTGGGGGCTCACGGAGCACAGCTCCTGGCTGCGTAGAAGCGAGGTCCTGGCTGAACTCATCATCGGCGGCCCCTTGCGGCGGCTGGCCGCTGGAAGGGGGTCCGTTCTGATTTGAATTTGCCTCGCAAACCCGGAAATCACGATGTTCGCCCTACCTGTTGAGATGATAAACGAGAGGCATATTAGGGAACAGAAAAGTGGGGGCCAAATATGAAGCCGCAAAAAGTAAATTTAATTTTTATTTTCCGTCTAGGAAGCTATTCTAGGCAGGCGGAAATATCCATCTAGAATAGCGAGACCATAAATGAATAAAAAATAGTTTTAAAATCCGTCTAGGATACTATCCTAGACGGAAATTCCGTCTAGGATTGTTCGCGGGAAAAATTGTATCTTTCTTCATTGATTCTATTGCACACTCTTGTAATAGTTTATCGATTACAAAGATCCGGTCTTTCTATAAGATCCGGTTACAACGAAAATCAAATAAAAAGAAATAAAAATTACAACTCTTCTCTTTCTTGTCGAACAAATCACGAGCTCCTGTTTTGCGGTCGCTCGCTTGCGTGGGTTGTTTGCCTGCGCGGGGTTTATCCGTTGACCACCGCGTGATCTAGATCCGGTCGGATCTACGCAGTACGACGGGTATTATTTCACGAAGGAAATAATAGCCGGGGGGGATTAGTTCACCAAGGAAATAATCGCCCAAATCTCGGGATCAAAGACCAAGATTTGATCTGGAGTACGCCTGCGTAGATCTGAGATCCGATCCTCTAGAACTCTTGCCTTTTTTGGCGTTGACGATCGCCGAGCACCAGATCTGGATGAGCGAGTCCTCGAAGTCCTAAAGCTTCAATCTTTTTTAGATCTGAGTCTTCAATCCAGCAGAGCTTCGCCTCTCCAAATTTTCCAACCCCTGAACAAATGAACCTGAAGGCCCCCCTCTCCTATTTATAGCCAAGCGTCACTGTGCCCGTGTGCACGTGTGGCCACCTCATAGATGGCCAGCCACCTTGAGGTGGCTCGGTTTCGGCCGAGCCCCTCTAGGTGCCGTTTTCCGTCTTTCTGTCCGTGATTCGGTTGTTTGGTTGACTTGTTTGGACTCGATTTGTTGACCTGATTTGGCAGTAAATCTGATTCCTGATTTGGCAGTAAATCTACTTCTGAGTTCGAGCCCGAAACTGATCTTGATTCGATCGTGATTGTCCGAGTCCGCCCTTGGTTGGATGACTCGTTGATTCCTCAACCCGTTAGCTAAATTCCACACGCGAGTGGATTTATTCTGTTGTTTGCGTGCGGTTCGTTATCCTCGTAGCCTCGTTAATCCGTTTCGTCGCGTATCACTTGGCTTCGGTGTTGTGGACTAACAGTCGTGTTTGGATACGTTGTCCGATGGTCGGTTTGTCGAATCGGCGTCGTCGAGATGTGTTAAGGGACCTATAGGCAGTTTTATACGCCTACAGATACCCCCTCCAAAGTATTTCAGCCTCGTTCTTTTATAGAAGAGTCTGGAATACTTTGGATATGATTGTCCCATCCTTCGATTGGTTATGACGGGATATTTGGAGTGGCTTCCATTCTTGATTCCTTCAGTCCTCCAAGTTGTTCGGTGCTTTGTCGAAATGTATGTAAGGTTCCGGTGCTGCATTTATTGTCTGACCGTCTGTCGGAATTTTGAATTTGAAGTCGATTCTCGATTTCCTGACTTTTTAGCTCGAGTTGGTTGCTTCAACATAGAACTGGCCATCGATTGATATTTGCGATGCGTTGTCCGGTGTTTGAGCTTCCTGGTAACGTGTTGTCCGGCGTCCAGGCTTCATTATAATGCGTTGTTTGGCGTTTGACGCAGTTTATACTCGTATGTTTGCTGGAGTAGTAAGAAGCAGTTTATACTCGTATACTTTTCGGAGTATTGATTCTTTCATTGCAACGCATTGATTGGCGTTGACCTAGGGTTACGCGTTGACCGGCGTTGACCTTAGGGTTTTGAACGTCGTACGTTGACTTTTTGATCGCAACGCGTTGACTGGCGTTGACCTAAGGTTACGCGTTGACCGGCGCCGACCTTAGGGTTTTGAACGTTGTACGCTGAATGGCGTTGACCTAGGGTTACGCGTTGACCGGCATTGACCCTAGGGTTTCGAATGTCGTAGGATGTTCAAGTCACGAGACCAACTAATGAAGTTGATGCGTCAGTGACTCTCGCATTTATAGGATTTTTGGCAAACCCCCAGCCATCAACGGGTTTGATGAGCCTTTACCGACTACCGTTTGAGTCGGGCTAGCATGCGGATTATTTTAAGTCCGTTCCGCATGTGACGTTATGCTAAAAGAGTTAACTCTTTTAGTGCTACGATATTGAATACGTAGACTTCGTCTTTCTCCTGTGAAAAGACTAAACAGCAACGTGTGTTAGACGTTGACTTTAGGATTTTTGGCTAACCCCCAGCCCTAAACGGATTTGATTAGCCTTTACCGACTACCGTTTGAGCCGGGCTAGCATGTAGATTGTCTAAATCCGTTCCGCATGTAACGTTGTGCTAAGAGAGTGAATTCTCTTAGACTTTGCTGCTACGACTTCGAATACGTAGACTTTGCCATTGTTATGGGAATAGGCTACCCAGCAACGTGTATTAGACGCTGACTTATCCCTACTTAGGCTTCGGGATAAAATGCCCCAGAATCGAACTCTGGTGTCTTTTTCTTCGGAGAGAGACTAAACCAACGACGCATGTTAGGCGTCGGCATATCCTTTCTTAGGATTCGGGATGAAATTCCCCATGCGTGTAAGGCATGGATTTTGGTGTTATTAATAACAACCTGCCACAATGTTGAATATGTAAACGGGTGTTCTATTTAACGGTTAAGAACTAACCGGCAGCGCGAGTTAAGTGCAGACTTATCCTTGCTTAGGTTTCAGGACAGAATACCCCAGAATCGAACTCTGGTGTCTTTTTCTGCGGAAAAGGACTAAATCGGCAGCGCGTGTTAGGCGCAGACTTATCCCTGCTTAGGATTCGGGATAAACTTCCTAGGATGAATCCTAAATTTCTTCTTCAATCGGTGAAAGACTAAACCGGCAACGCGTGTTAGGCGTTGACTTGGTGTGGGAAGGAAGAATTTTATATTTTGTTCCCCAAACAAGGAAGGAAGAATTTTATATTCTATTCCTTGATTCTGGAAAGGAAGAATTTTATATTCTATTTCCAGTGCGAAAAAGAAACTAGAAGTGGGATCTCCACTCCGAGAATCCGGAAGATCTAGATAAGCTTACCTTTTATAGGATTGGTTATCTAGATGAGTTTTTTGTTTATCGAAATGAAATTTCAGCTTTGGTTATAACCATGAGAAGGCTTAACCAAAGAGAAAAATAAGGGAGTTCTTTCGTTTATCGAAAGGAGACTCTAGACTGAAAGTGGACCTCTTGTTCGTGAAAAGAATCAAGAGGGGAAATTGCTGGCGGTTTGGGCCAAAAGGATATTTTTGGTGGACTCACTGTCAATTGAAATTGATCAGTGAGGGATTTTGGTGGTAGGAAACAATTTCGGGTTATCCTCTAGAATATTAAGTGGGATATTCTTCGAGGAACTTCCCGATAAATGGGTTATCCTGAATGTACTAGGGATAGTACTTTTTCAGGAACTTCCCATTTATTGGCATTAATTGCCTGACGCCCTCTATAGAAATGAGGCGATATGCGCCGCTTGAGTAGACTGTGTCTATTACAAACGGACCTTCCCATTTGGGTTCGAATTTACATTTCTTCTTAGAATTGAGGATTATCGGTCGGCGAGCAGCGAGGACCAGATCTCCTTTCTTGAAGCTTCTCTGTCGGACTCTTTTGTTAAAGGCCCTAGATATTCTAGCTTGATAAAACTCAATTTGTTGTTGAGCTTCCAAGCGCTTTTCATCCAACTTTTCAAGTTCTTCGAGACGTTTTTGATGTTGTTCTTCTGTCGTCATCTCAGTTGCGAGAGCGATCCGAAGTGATGGGATTTGAATCTCCAATGGTAGCACGGCTTCACATCCGTATACCAACGAATATGGGGTAGCTCCCGTAGGTGTGCGTATGGTGGTGCGATAAGCCCAGAGCGCCTCACCGAGTTTATCGTCCCAGTCTCGTTTATTGGTCTTCACGAGCTTTGACAGGATTTTAATGATCGTCTTGTTAAACGCCTCAGCTAATCCATTCGCAGCGGGATAATAAGCTGTTGACGAAACATCTTCAATCTTGAATTTGTCACAAAACCTGATGAAGGCGTTGCTTATGAACTGTGGCCCGTTGTCATGAATGATCCGTCTTGGCACGCCGTGTCGGTATATGACATGATGTTTGATGAAATTGATGACGTTGTTCGTCTTCACTTCTTTAAGCGGGATCGCTTCAGCCCACTTTGAAAAGTAATCCGTGATTGCGAGGATAAATCGATCACCTTTGACTGAAGGGGGGAAAATAGGACCAACAATGTCCATGCCCCATGTCTCAAAAGGCCACGACGTGGTTGACGTGTGTAACTGCTCCGGTGGTTGGTGCATATAATTTGCATGTATCTGACAGGCATGACACTCTCGGGCGTATTCGATTGCATCACGAACCATCGTTGGCCAGAAATATCACATTCTCCTGATGCGATCATACAGTTTGGGACCGGGCTGATGCGCACCACATTCTCCTTCGTGTGCTTCTTTAAGAACTTCTTCTGCTTCTTTGTTCGAAAGGCATCGGAGTAACAACCCATCGTACCCTCGACGGTATAATGTATGGGTCTCGGTATTATAGAAGAATCTTGGCGCTCTTCGGCGGATTGATTCTCTTTCTTTTACATCCTCTGGCAAAATACCATATTGGACGTAGTCAATGATAGGAAAACGCCAATCTCGGGACTCAGACCCAATTTGAGTTGAATTCACCTCCTTGGCGTTTACTTTTCCATCATCTTCCTCTTCATTATCCATGTCGTATATGGGTACGCAAAGTTGATGCGTTCTTACTGTGACTAAAAGTTCAGTTTCGGGAGGCTGTGCCAGTGATACCGCTAGTGCTGCCAGTGCATCTGCATAAGCGTTCTGGAGGCGAG